TTCAACTTTGTCATTGACGTACTTTTAGAGATAACACTCTCCTCATCTAAATTTCCAGGGGTTGAACTTCTACCGGGAGTTTCACTTGTTGACTTAGAATATGCAAATGACATAGTTTTATTTGGTGAAGACGATGACAAAATGCAGAGTCTTCTGACCACTCTAAGTAACAATGCAAGCATGTTCGGGATGCGATTCTCTCCCTCGAAATGCAAAATGTTGCTTCAGGATTGGGTTACATCGACACCCGAACTAGTAATAGGGAGTGAAGTAGTTGAGTGTGTCGACCGCTTCACTTATCTTGGAAGTCTCATCAGCCCTTGTGGTCTGGTGTGTGACGAAATCTCAGCACGGATACAGAAGGCTCGACTAGCTTTTGCCAACTTGCGTCATTTATGGCGTAGGCGAGATATCCGTCTATCAACCAAAGGACGTGTTTACTGCGCAGCAGTTCGTTCCGTCCTACTTTATGGCAGTGAAACATGGCCGGTAAGAGTAGAGGATATCCGTAGGTTACTAGTATTTGATCATAGGTGTCTTCGAAACATTGCTCGTATATCATGGGACCATCGAGTAAGTAACACAGTTGTTAGGAAACGGGTACTAGGTAAGGATGGCAAATCAATTGATGACGTAGTGAAACTTCATCAGTTGAGATGGCTGGGACACGTGTTACGTATGCCCAACGACCGACTGCCTCGACGTGCTATGTTTAGTGGTATAGGAGTAGTTTGGAAGAAAGCTAGGGGCGGCCAAACCAAAACATGGCGCAAGTCCATGAAGTCACTGACAAGTGGACTGAGTCATGTTGGTAGGTGTAGACTACCTGGTTGGGGACCGCGAGATGATAGCAACCGATGGTTAGAGACCCTGAATGACATGGCTCAAAATCGTTTGCAATGGCGCAGGTGCATCCACTCTCTGTGTTCTCCCAGATTCTAATCTTCTGAATTCTTCATGTCCTTTTTTTTTCCTCTTTCCAAATTTCTTTCACTGGATTATACTCTTTAAATAACATCTCCAAACCCTAATCTTCCCGATTACTGCTTATACTCTTATTATCTCTATCACTACGGGATTTGAATCGACAAGTGCATCTCTGTGCTAACGTGGTGTGGCAACTCGAACTGATGTACGTACGTACGAAGTTCTACGTTGTTACTGACTGACTGACATTTTACTGCAAATACTTAATCGTACTTAAGTGTATGACTTCTACATCTTTGATTACCTGATATTGCTTAAAAAACTCTTGATATATTGAAAATTGAGCTCACACAAACATTCTTTTTAATAAATTGTATCCTAGCTGTTCGAAATAGATGTACAGGATAACATGACTAGGATAATAACAATAGCAATTGATTATCAAATTAAAAGATTACAATATTTGTTGGAAGTAGACGTCATCATATGTTTCGAAAACTACGTTTTCAACTGGTAGGGTGATGATGTATTATTTATGTTACAATAAGATCAATTAATAAAGATTTACAACATCATTAAGTGATCTGGTATATTTATCTTGAACTCTAGGGTTAACCTAGTATTACTGACTTATTGGGGCTACTATAAATTGAGAGTACTCTGGGGATATCTGTGATCAAATATTTGAAAATTATGAATTAAGTATGATACTATAGGTCATATTTTCCAGCTACAAAGCAGTACAGAGAGAACTATGGCATAGTACATTGGCCATTTATTTCCAGACAAGGGTAACAAGTGGTGCACGTTGGAAAAAGTAGAACAAGCTTTCTGTACTCGTGCTAAAATCGCTTTGCCCAGAAGCTGATGAAACTTTCAAGAAAAGTGATTTGATAGACGTATGGAAATATTCAAATCATAAATTGGCGCAGATTCATTGGAACCCCTTCCATTCTGAAGTACAGAATTGAATTTATGAAAAATGCTACTGAGTGTATGTAATTGCGGGATTTGTATCTTGAAACTGGTGAAGTATCCCTGTTAACTTGTAGCATAATTCAAGCTTAAAATAGTTAGAAATGGATAGATGGAGAATGTACATAAACACTATTCAACGTGTTCTCTGCATTTAGGTATTTCATAGGAAGAGGTCATCATAATAGCTAAGTGGAGATGTCAGTAACCACACATAAGTTTTGCAAGTGTTGAACTATTGAAAGGACTCAAAAGAATGAACTGATCTCTTTACCAACAATAATAAGTTATCACAAAAAGGAATGTAGAAACCAAATACCGCCCTGGTTTTCACTATACATAAAGTGATATCATCACTAATGCCAACACCAACATGTACACAGCTACCTAAATACAAACTTCTTGACTATTTCTAACTGCCTATTACCAAAAGTGAGTGTACGCACAGGTCTTGCCAGTCTTTTAAGTGTTTTGCACTTTGAAGGCGCAAAGCACATGACATACTTACAGACACTGAATGCTAAATGTATAAGTGCGGATTGCACAGCTCAAGTATCATCGCACGTTAAGACAATACCATCGGCATACTGAAGGTCGAAAAGTCTTTCACTATGTAACAAATTCACGCTACCACTACCTAATTCCATCAGAGCTGTTTCCAGAACCTTATCAATGCTATGTATGGTTGGAGAGGAATGGTGAAATTCCCCAACCACCTCTTACCCCACCGGATGAGTGAAGCATTGGAGAGAGGTGCCATGCCATTATTCTGTCTGAGGTATTTGTATATGGGGACTTCAAGATGTTAACAAGTTTTTCAGACACACTCTTCTTCAGTAAACAGTTTAAGAGAACAGCCTTGTTCAATGTGGCTCCGATCTCAAGAAACATTACGATTGTTGGTTTGTTATAAGCATAGTAGTGTACGTTTGGTGGAGAAAGGAGATATGATCAATACATCCTCGACCAAGACGAAAACCAGCCAATCTTCCGCAGGTTGGGAAGTGTGACGGAAACTAACAGTTTGGAAGCCATCGGAAGTAGGTTTATCCCTCGATAGTTACTGCATAGGTGACGTAAACCCTTTTTAAAGATAGGAAAGACTACCACCTTATACCAGGATATCAAAACACTCAATTCAATAACCAGAAGTTCCCCATCATTCTTAAAAGGGGCTGAGAGTAAGCTGTTTGGTTCTGGTAATTTATGAACTTTCATGAGTTAGAGTTTCCTGAAGAACTCCGCCCCTTTAAGTGGGTCAGTCGCAACCGGCTATAGAGGACAAGGCAGTCTGATCGATGTCTCTGGGGTAACTAACCACATGATCTATTTCTCGAAGAACTGTTCAAAATCCAGGATGTCGGTAGATGTTATTGATCAGCGTACCGTCAGATCCACAGATTGTTCCACTCACACCAGACTTCCTGCCCCCGGTGGTTCGGATGGATTGGAAGATCTCCAGCTTCTTCTAACTTGTCAGCACGCTCCGACTAACACAGATCTCGGTTCTTAGGCAAACTTTGCAAAACATTTTCACTTAACAATCTATGTTTGTCGTCAAACGCACGGTTGGTCGGAGTATACCGACGTGCTCAACGAGTATTAGGAGCCTGGAGAAACCCAGTGCCTACAAACGGGAGGCTTCGCGAAGCCTCAAGCGACTTTATCGGAAATTTTCACGTCATAAAAACGCAAACAGTGCTCATTTATACTTTTTAGTGTGTTGGGAGTTAGACTTGAACTTAGCTTGGTTTGATATCTAGTTGTAACGGAAGCTGCATTGATTCGTTTAGGATGATGAACTTGTTGGTCACTGAGACGTAAGATAAGATTAGCGCAAACAACGGCATGATCACAGCCTAGATAAGAACTCTAAAAGGAGCCACAGTCTTGTGCACAGCCACGCTAGCCGTAGTTGATCTCGATATGACCAATCTGACTCCAGGCTTGAGTTGTAGAGAGAGCGCCAGGTAATACACTGGGGATGACTGTGTCGATAGTGCTGACCAGAAACAGGTTGCAGTCTGTGCAGAGCTGCAGGAAACGGTAACCGTTATCCGACAAAAGTCACCATTGACCACTTTGACGACTCTCCTCCGAACACAGCCCCTCGAACTGTCCATCCGAATTTCCAGCTAGTAACACAACGTTTATCGAAGGAAATTTTGAGACCATTTGACTGGTAGTAAAGGTCATCCTTGATTGCATCCAGGTTACAATAAGTTTACTATTAAAAAGATTAACGAAAATTTAGTATTCTGAATGCTTTGCTATAAATATCTTGATGTTGCCCCCAAATGTCCTGGTACGGCCGAGAGTGGGGAGAGTCAGCTCTCCCTCTCGAAATACTCTCACACGGCCACGCGTATATAGTCTCTGCTAGGGAAGTCCTACTCATTGCCTTCTCGTGGCAGGGGTGTTGTTTACGAAAATGAGAGGACGAAAAGCGAATGTCCGGCGCTTTAACCGGATTCCAAACCAATGGTGCACATGGGCTGGCTCCAGTATCGTGCCGGAACAAATGGCGTATGAACCAATCGTTGGTCACCGGCTTCCATGGGACTGCATCTCCTTACGATGCTCCACTGCCTTGTGGGTTAGACCTTTAGGTCGAAGGCTCGGGGTGTGGCCCCTTAAGAAAACCACCTGCTTCGTTTTGGGCACCCGGGCAGTATCACAGCCCTCACACATATCGAATGAGATTTGTGTGGCGCATATGTATTTGGTGCCTCCTTGTACCAATGTCTATGTGTTCAAATAAATAATAATAATAAATAAATATCTTGATGTGACATCATCAGTAAATACTAAAATACAGAATGATTAGTGAACAATGTGTTTTTCAGTGGTGAAAGGATTCCAGAGGCACGAATATTTCAGTGATGGTCTTTAAATGACGGACCAACTAGACTGTAACTGTAGCTCTGAGTTGTGATAGTATAGATATCTAAAGTATTATTCACTACCTTGAAGATGTAAATAAGCCTTACTGGATCAGTGTTAACAAGCTTCCTACTGAAAGTATCTAAGCATCGAACATTAAAATATTCTAGAGCCACTAATTTGAACAAAGAAAATCAAACAAAAATAATATTCACCTTCATTATTAAATGCCGATTTGGCTAAAAAGCGATCGACATCTGTATAACGCAGATCTTCTCGCTTCTTTCCACCAACTAAATGCTCATACGTACGCCTATTGATATAATTACCACCAGCATTACTAATTTAGTGGGAAAAAACAAATTCAAACACGTACAAAACATTAGACATTAACATCATTTGAGATAACTTATGTAATAATACATGAATCAATAAATTTCAGAGAGGAGTGATTGAACTAAAGCTGATTTGAATGACTACATTAGAAAAGTGACTTCTCAATATGAACTTCACAAAACTAAGTACCTAATGACAACATTAAATATTATACTAAGTGCACCTAAGGAATTCATAAAACACAGATTCCTGAGATTTAATTAACCCTAATCAGTAAATTTACATCCCTCAAATTGATTAAGTGAACAGTAAAATACACCATGAACTGGTTCTATGTCCTTATTTAATTACCATTAACCTTATGTAAACCTAATCTTACACAAAAATATTTACTAAATCTAAACTACGTTGCAGTTGTATGTTATATGACTTCACCTCGATAGCATTGATCGAGAATTATAGAGGTATACTGAAAAGGTCTCAACGCATACATTTTCACATACCTCAAAAAGATGAATATTGACTTTCTAAAATCAACGCCTTCAACTGTTTCACGGACCTCTAGCAAAGGTGACAATATATCCAATATTCCATGAGGCATATTGTGCATTTCATCAAAAACAAATATTGATGTAGGGCACTCGGAAACAGCTGTATGTAGATCTCGATAAAGGCGTTCCTAAAAATGAAAAATTACGGAATATTTGTTAATCACAATGGTGATACTGAATTCTACACTCATAAAACTGTGCCTACTGAAACTCAATTACTCCTACCCTTACGACAACTTTCAGGGTTGAATAAGTAAATAAGACCTGTACATAGATGGCAAACTCAACCGCTCTTGTAGAAAAAACTGTCTACATGTGTACTATATCTCATGTTAGCAAAAAATAATGGGACACAATAAATAGAACACTGAACAATGAAAATATAAATCACTATTTGGGTGGGGTGACTTTTGGGGCACAACAAGCAATTTAAGCCTCAAGTGATAGATAAAAGCAGAAAAACTTTTGAGTGTAAACTTGAGGTACTTTCTTGATTAAAGTGAAGATCGCTAGTCATACTATACAACTCGAAAACCATAAACTTCCATGAATTTTTCACCCTCTAAATCTAGTTAAAACAAATCCAACATAAAAAGAACTTGGTGATACATGCATATAACAGTGATGTTATCAAAAGATTGTAGTTATTTGTCCTGGGATTCCACACATACGTAATAATTAACGGATATGTTTCCTGTCACCGAAAAGTCAATGTTCAAGAAATGATGCCAAACGACGCCGAAGACAATGAGGATATATCACAAACTAAACAGGAATCTAGAATGAATACGGACAGAAGTGACCCCGAATGCCCTGGTACGGTCGAGAGTAGGGAGAGTCAGCTCTCCCTCTAGAAATACCCTCACATGGCCACGTGAATACCACTACCAGGGAAGTCCTACTCATTACCTTTTCGCGGCATTACTGTTGTTTACGAAATTGAGAGGACGAAAATTATTTATTTATTTATTTGAACACATGAATATTGGTACAAGAGAGCGCCAATATATATGCGCCACACAAAACAATGAAAATTCGAGAGGAATACAAAGAAGAAAAAAAAGCTAAGGAGCGCAACAAAAAAAGAGAACAATAACGAAGAGATTGGTGTAAGGTAGTGTGGTAGTAACGAGGGAACGAAAAGGTACAATCAGAAGAAATCTTTCAGGTAAGGGAGACACAACCACATTTTATGAAGAAAGTAAAAGAAGGTTACAGCAGGATCGCACCCGGCTTCTATTCTGAGCCATATCTGATAACGTCTCTAGCCACTGTGTAGCACCATCTCTCAGACCCCAACCAGGGAGTCGTGAAGGACCAATACAAGCCAGTCCTTTGCAGCTTTCTTTCATGCCACGACACCATGTCATGCACTGACCACCTCTCCGCTTCTTCCAACCAGTCCCAGAGTCGGCAAATAATGCACGACGTGGAATTCTCTGGGACGACATTCGGAGAACATGTCCAAGCCACCGAAGTCGGTGTTTCAAGATGGTGACACCAATTGCATTATCATCTCTGTGCCCGAACACACGATGCCGAACCTCTGCATTACTGACATGGTGTTGCCACTGAATGTCAGCAATCCTTCGGAGACAGCGATGATCGAACACAGTGAGTCGTCTAACGTCCTCAACTCGGAGGCCAGGTTTCACAAGCATAGAGCAGAACTGCTCTCACCGACGCGTTGTAGATCCGACCTTTTACAGCCAGACTAACATCACGAAGGCGCCAAAGGTGGCCCAGATTGGCATAAGCCGCTCTGGCTTTCACTATTCGTGCATTGATCTCATCACTCACACCCGCACCAGCACTTATGCAGCTACCCAGATACACGAACTTCTCGACTACGTCTATCTGCTCACCATCCAGGGTGAGTACAGGATTGGAATCCTGTTAGTCTTGTAGAAGTACTTTGCACTTCGAAGGTGCAAAGCACATACCATACCTACGGACACTGATTGCCAACTGATTAAGTGCGGATTGCATGCCTTGGGCATTATCGCACAGTAAGACAATATGGTCCGCATACTCGAGGTCGAGAAGTCTTCCTCCAGGCAACAGATCCACACCACCATTACTTACATTCATCAGAGATGTTTCCAGAATGTCGTCGATGGCAAAGTTGAAGAGGAATGGTGATATTGGGCAACCCTGCCTAACCCCACAGCTCGAATGGAAAAATGGAGAGAGGTGGTTGGATGCTCTCCTTCTGCCCGAGGTGTTTGTATATAGGGCTTTAAGATGTTGATAAACTCCTCAGAAACACCCTTCTTCAATAGACAATCCCAGAGAACAGTCCTACCCAACGAATCGAAGGCAGCCCTGATGTCAAGAAACACTACGATTGTTGGCCTTTGATAAGTATGACGGTGTTCTAACATTTGGCGGAGGGTGAAGATATGATCAATACATCCTCGATCAGAACGAAACCCAGCCTGCTCCTCGCGAGTCAATCTTTCTCGGGTTTTGAACAACCTACGAAGTATGACGGAAGCCAATAGCTTGGACGCAATCGGAAGTAGACTTATCCCCCGATAGTTGTTACAAGAACGACGTGAACCCTTTTTAAAGATAGGGACAACTATCGACTCGTTCCATGACGTTGGCACACTCTCTAGTTCCCAGACCTTTATAAACAACGTCGTCAATTCCTTAGTCAAAAAGTCACCACCATCTTTAAAAAGAGCCGGAGGTAAGTCATCTGGGCCAGGTGATTTGTAACGCTTCAAGAGTTGGAGTTCCTTGCGGACTTCCTCCTCATTTGGTGGATCAGTCGTCACCGGCCATGGAGGAAAGGACAGTCTGACCGATGTTGCCGGAGCAGCAGGTCAGTTGAACTGCCCTTCGAAAAATTCTGCCCACCGTCCAAGACGTCGATGGATGTTAGTGATTGGCATCCCATCATCCTCGCAGATTGTTTCGCTCACACCAGACTTCTTGCTGCCAGTGGCTCGGATGAGTTGGAAGAACTTCCGGTAATTACCAGATGCAGCTGCTGCTTCCAGCTCATTAGCATGCTTCGACCACCAGGCTTCTCGGTCCTTATGCAAGCTTTGCCCAATTTCCTTACGTAACAACCTTCGTTTGTGGTCAAACTCACAGTCACCCGGAGTAGACCGACGGGCTTCAATGAGTTGTAAGGAACCACAAGAAACCCAGTGCTTAAAAGCGGGACGTTTCGCAAACCCACAACTGACTGTTCCCGCCATTTTCATGGCGTCATGCAATTGCAACCAATGCTCATCTATACTTTTCGGTGGAGTGGTAGCTAGCCTAGAGGTTAGCTCGGTTCGATACTTACTTGCAACAGAAGTTGCAACCAGCTTGCTAACATCAATCTTTTGGTGGTGGTCACTTCGTTTGCCACTAAAAAGTAAGGCAAGATTGGCGCAAGCCAAGGCATGGTCAGAGTCCAGATAGGTACTCCAAAAGGAGCGGCAGTCTTGTACACAACCACGCCAGCGGTAACTGATCGCGTTGTGATCAATCTGAGTCCAGGCTTGAGATGAAGAGGGAGGACGCCAGGTGGCACATCGGCGATGACTGTGCCGAAAGTTAGTGTTGGCCAGAAACAGGCTGTGGTCTGTGCACAGTTGCAGTAGACGGTCCCCGTTATCTGACCTGCGACCAACGAGTCCCCATCGGCCACCTAAACGACTCTCTTCTGTGCCTAGACGCCCGACCTGAGCATTCAGGTCTCCGGCTAGTACTACAATATCTGTCGAACTCACTTTCTGGAGAAGAACAGATAACTGGTGGTGAAACTCATCCTTGATTGCATCCGGGCTGCAATCTGTCGGGGCATAGACGGAGATGACGAAAAGACATCGTTTCTCACGCCGATTTCTTCTCATTTTGATGGAACTCTTTACTCTATCAGCACATAACCGACTGTTAATGGGGATCCAATCGATTAGTGCTGCCTCAGCTCTAGCGCTTAGTGCGACACCAACGCCAGCAAGACTTGACGAAGATGCCACAGGGTCCCCGGATAAGCGCACGTAAAACAAGCTTTTCGAAGCGACATATGGAGATCGAATTTGTAGTACTTCACCAGAGTCTTGAATACGGGTCTCGGATAGACAGAAAACATCGATATTAAGACTTCCCAAAGAGATAGCCATCCCTATCTGTTGTCCGACCTGCATAAATGTGCGAACGTTGAAGGCAGCCAGTTTGTATGGTGAACGTGGTTTCAGAAAAACTGCTTCAGTACTCATATTCGATGGTAACATACAACTTTCAACCGGACAGTGACTCGAGAACGTTTAGATACAGTCGAATTTCCACCAAAGACGAGCCGCTGTATAAGTATAAAAGAGGGTGAATAATGTGGAAAATAATAATAATAATAATAATAATAATAATAATAATAATAATAATAATAATGACAATAATGGTAATAGTAATAATAGTATTAATAATGACAATAATTGTAATGATAATAATTTGAATCAAATGATTGTTTTTCGAAGCGAGAAAAATAATTTCCATAGACATAGAGAGTTCACCATTTGTGTGTGGGCTGTGGTACTGCCCGGGTGCCCAAACCGAAGCAGGTGGTTACCTTAGGGGGCCACACCCCGAGCCTTTGACCTAAAGGTCTAACCCACAAGGCAGTGGAGCATCGTAAGGAGATGCAATCCCATGGAAGCCGGTGACCAACGATTGGTTCATACGCCATTTGTTCCGGCACGATACTGGAGCCAGCCCATGTGCACCATTGGTTTGGAATCCGGTTAAAGCGCCGGACATTCGCTTTTCGTCCTCTCATTTTCGTAACCAACACCCGTGCCACGAGAAGGCAATGAGTAGGACTTCCCTGGCAGAGGCTGTATACCCGTGGCCGTGTGAGAGTATTTCGAGAGGGAGAGCGGACTCTCCCCACTCTCGGCCGTACCAGGGCATTCAGGGGGCAAATGTCCGGTTCTTTAACTTGGTTGGTGATTACGGAAGATCCACCTAGAGGAGTCGGAAAACCCTGATTCCTAACCAATGGTGCACATGGGCCCCAGGATTCTAAGGAAACAAATGGCATATAAATCTATTGTTTGTCGCCGGCTATCATGGGACTGTATCTCCTTGGGCTAACCCACTGCCTTGTGGATTAAACCTTTGGGTCAAAGGCTCTGAGAGTGGCCCCCTAAGAAAATCATATGCTTCTGCTTGGGTACGCGGGAAGTATCATAGTCCTCGCACATATCGAACGATTTGTGTGGCACAGATGTATTTGATGCCTTGTACCGACTCGTCCGCGTTCGAATAAACAAATAAATAGATACAACAGGGGAAAATGGGTTATACGCCAGCGATGTAAAGGTTTTGATTTTTAGAATATATGGGGATACTAAACTCATGAAAGTAATAAAGGGTACTAGGTATTTTAAAGTTTTAGCGATGCACTCTCGTTGATGGGTAATTTCGAAAAGAAAGTCATGATTGGCCAAGTGGAAATTCATTAAGGATATTGAATTTGAACACCCACGTAAAAATAAGGAATAACTGGCTGATACAGAGTATCTAATATTCATTAAAATATCAAATAGGTCTAGGTGATTAATAACACATGCAAACCAACCTTATACTCTGGAATATGGGAGGCATGTTTGAAGTGTATTGTCGCATCATAGAAATGGTAAAACCGACTCCTTGTTCCCAATTTCAAAACATTATTCGCGATAATATTTGAAACGAAATTCTTCCCAACACCAGTGTATCCATGGAATGACAATGCTAGAGGCTTTTGTGGCAAACCACCGGAAATATGATCGACTAAATGATGATACACACGCTCAGCTGCGATATGCTGACCATGCAATTCATCCGAAAGTGATCGTTCCAAGCCTGGAAATGAAATTTTAGGAACCTACTTGTTTTGTTAAAGTGAACGGCTGAAGAACAGCATTCATATAGGAGACAGTTTAGACGATACTTGTATATTATTCCCGTTATCGCTACTGAGAACGGTACAAGCGCGACAAACGGAAAAGCATTGCAACTTGCAAGCAGGAGAAAGAGTATCACGTTGTAACGCATGCATCCAACTATACCGCGTAATGTATCAGAAGTCCAAATTCAGGTTGGCTTGGCCGGACCAGGTGGCTGTTCATTCATCAAACTGTGTTTCGTTGGTAAGAGGTAGATCTCAGTTACAACTAAAGGTAGCGATTTATTTTTCTGAATATAAAGGGGAAAATTAGTTTATAATAGGACGGTAGATCATTAAAGAGCACAAAAGTTAACCCCCTACAGTCTACAGAACTAAGGTAAATGCTGAGCCTTCTATAAAATGCTCCACCTGTATCACGAACTTTCGTGAGGGCTCTATCGTGTCCTGTTTTAAATGCATGTGATGAATCCCAATATTGTGAAGTGGCCAAAAGAATTGTGTTACTGGAAGCAAACAATCACTTTTCTAATGCCATAGAACGTCATTGAAAATTTAACATACACCAATAGTGGTTAGTTTACATCAGCATAATGCTTTTGTTGGAGCTCACCAGTGTTCATACACTATTAGATTAATTCATTCAGTGGTCCTCCCTCAAGTTTGCTTGTACAACTCTTGTCTCGGATTTCACTTTTCCCAAGTAGTCAGAATGGTTTAACTTCTCGAAATCAAGCGGTAAAGTCACTATGAAGATACTGAGCTAATTATCCCAGCAAACCGTACAATCGACATTAGACACATATATTGTATTTCTCACTTTCACAAGGCTTTTCACTTCCCCATTTAGAACGAAAAAACTGGCACCTCACCAGGATGCTTGAAAACTTTTCTCCACAAAGAAGAAATATAGATCGCTCTCTGGACGACACCGGAAGAACAATCTACTACCTAGCTGGTTAAAACCTTGTTCAATAAAAGATCTTACTAAACAAATGTTCACACCAAATAAGAGCTGATGTGAACCACCATTTTCTTAGTCAAGTAGTAAGTCCTAATCCATCATTTATCACTGTTCGGCTTCCGCATGTTTTCCCGTGTTGACACGAAATAAACCACCGACTCTACTCTCGTTGTCAACCCTTAATCAGCTTTACAAACATGATCCCCTAAAGCCATGAAGACCTATCTTTTCCCCTGTGGTTGACCGCGAATTTCGCCTCAAACATCGTAATACAATTGTCACTGTTCATACCTCTTAACCTTCAATTCTTATTCACATCCGGAACGACCGAGTCGGAAACTTTTCCTTATCCCAACCAGGAATTTTTAGACTAACAAACATGCTTTGAGCACGCAAATTTTCCAAATCAAGACCTCGTCAGTTCCTGATACTTGCTTAGATTAATTAAGAAGCATGTCTATGTGTCAACAAAGCAAACTCACCAACTCTTCAGCACTCGTTCATTGCACAGACAGCTCTAAGTCTGAAAAACTTCATCACTGAGCTAAACATCAGGCTAGAGTTCTGGCAGATAAGCAAAGAAATAACAGTGCTATCACATAACCTAGACTCAACTACAATCTTTTAAATGATTTGCGAAGGATAAAATGCAGAAATCATAAGCAAAGATAGTCATTCAGTTAGTATGCGTTAACACTCAGAAGAAATGTCATTGAGAAAACCCTGTTTCTTGATGAAATAAGTGATTTGCAAAGCTGGTAAAGTGTTTCCGTATTTAAGTAATATGTGAAAAAAAGGAAATTTTTGATTGACTTCATACACCGTCTGTTTAGATAGTTTGGTATTGACCTTGGAAGCCATCGATCCGAAGTAGAACTAAAAGGATTAGATTATTGTTTGTAAAATCAAAATGTAATCTACAAATGCAAGATCACATCCTTCCACCCGATGACAAAGCGGAAGTCAGCGGGATACATGACACATCTATTAGAATAATAATAATCTAACCCGTGTTTTTTAACTTACCATTAGTTATCTTCATAGAAGTGTGATATACTAAGTGTATGTCTTGTAGTGACTCAGATTTATCACGAGAACATGACTGGTTTAGTAAAAGCAATTATTGTTATAACCAACTGTACCAGTGTTTGTTTTAATGTGCTTTTGTTTGACTGTGCTAATGACAGCTATATTGTGCTTCCGTTCTTATTTACACACTTTGATTGTGACTTCGCGCGAATTCGGTTACATTCTGTAACCAAGCTTCTATCCTGGCACGATCTCGGTATCCTTTCGATACCACGAGATCGCCAGCAAATATATCTCGACTTGGTCCATTAACTGCCTTCTGATATTTGGCTTCTCGGGGATTTTCTGGATCTATTTGGTTACGTTCAACCTACGCCTTCTGATTTACTTGGCACGTGTTTCTTGGTAGCGCTACAGTTTGACCCATAATACAAATGCCTTAACCATCTGATTTGCTTGTAACATGGAACAAGTAGAGATAGTGTATTCCAATTATGGGCTTTGATTAAAGCAGTATTCATACTTACCACAAACGTAAGACAGACTAATATCACAAAAGGAGGTAGAGTGACGTTACTGACCAGCAAACACAATCGTGAGGAGATAACTCCAATTCACCCATGTTTGTAGGGCAGAAGACTTTGTATAATTACAGCTCCTTATGGTATAGTTGAATGTTACAATCCACTGGTATTGACACTCATTTATTATACAAAATACCTCATTAAATCGTGTTTAGAACGTCGAATTGGTCCCATTTCCTACCCAGTAATCCTATTACAGACAAGCTAGACAATTCGCTAAAAACAAAGCCCACTCAAGACCCTATAAAATCTAGAAAAAGGGCTCAAACAGCTTCGACAAAAAAAGTGAGACAGCCATTTGTATATCAGAATACTGTTTTCTGCACTGTATTTTATAACTACATATAATCCCATACTTTCAGCTTCTTTCCGAACCACGTCCATTTGTCAGTTGTTTATCCAGCCATACCTTGTTTACACTTATTTTCTTTAATCTATTAGAATGCTCCCACCTAATAGGTTCCTTAATAGGTGAGAATTAGACTGAGTAGTCATACCATAACTATTCCTTCAAGAACATTGTCTGCTCTACTTCTTGTCCTTTCTTTATCTTGCACGCTTTTTCATCTACCTTGGGATAGGCCACCAAAAATATATGTGGAACGGGTGACTTCATCCTGCGCCATCATGAAAGCCTTAGATAATCCGGAGGGATATAAGGTCGCGGTTTCTGGAAGCCCACAACTTCACATAGATCTATTTTCGACCATCAGTTGCACGTCGTAACGCTGTAACAGCTTAGGTTGGTTGGTTAAGAGTTGACCCCAAACAACCAAGCATATGCCAAAACAGTATTGTTCAAGTATTCATTCACTTATTTTGTATAAGCGTTATATTCCCTATTATCTTATATTGAATGTTGAGAGCCTTTGTTTGTCTGAACAGATAATCCCACGCTCCACTGTGACCGCGCTAAGATCGAAATAAGGACCTGCTACAGACCTATTCACTACTTCTCTGGTTTCTTCTATCAATAGCACGAGGGTTACCTTAAGGCACGAAAGTGGTGAGCCCTTTTTGAACACAAATTTAACCTCATTTCTGTTATTAACATTTTTTTACTTAATCGTAAAAGTAGACCTGATTATTCGTAAACTAAGTTGAGTATATAACTAGTTTATTCCGTATTATCTTAAGTTATTCGTGTTATAGTAACCATTTTTCGTGCTAACTTTATTGCTATATTTGTCACATACCTCATGTCAGACTCAATAGAAACCCATAATCTGGAGGATTTGTCACCAGTGGAGATAGACACTGTTATGACTACGAAATCCCGACTTCCAGAATTTGATCGTAGTGATCCTGAGTTGTGGTTTGCTCAACTAGAGCATTATTTCACGAGACACAATATCAAATCTGAAGGGATTCGCTATAGAGACTTATGTTCTATCCTTCCTCTTTCAGTCGCCAAAGACGTCCGTGACTTGATCTTAAGTACACCATCACCACAACCATACACCATCTTAAGACGAGAGATAATGAACCGTTTATCATTATCAGATAGTCAAAGAATGCAAAGACTTTTTCAAGGTGAAACACTAGGTGATCGGTCGCCGTCACAGTTTTTACGTCACCTCCAAGTCTTAGTGGGTGATAACACAGTGGGTGAAGCAATCCTAAAACAAGGATGGATACAAGCTCTCCCATGCTACGTCCAACACTGTTTGGATGCACAAGATCCTGAAACCTTATTATCTCATTTAGCGCGTATAGCCGATAGAATAATGGAAAGAGGTCCTTCAACTGGATCAGGCACAATAAATCACACACAAAAAGTGGAATCAGTAAAAGACCCCGTAATAGAAGGACTCATTGCGAGTGTTAAGAGTCTCACTGAGGCTGTCACCAGAATGCAAATGGGTCATAGGAACAGGAGCAGATCACCACAACGACCACGATCCAAGTCACAAAACCGGTCACAAATGTCCAGACAATCTGGGCAGTTTTGTTGATACCACTGGAAGTTTGGTGTCAACTCAACCAAGTGCATGCCACCATGCGCCTGGCCTAAGCATAATTCTAAGACAGCGGGAGACGAGTAACCCCTCCCCAGGTCGCGACGACTGAGGAGGGGCGCCTAAACAGTCGCTTGTTTTATGTTGGAGACAGAAACTCTGGCTTGAATTTCTTGGTGGATACTGGCGCTGCTCTTAGCATCATCCCTCAAAATAAAGCTGGGATTAGTCGAGAAACATCATCAATTACACTTCAAGCTGCAAATAAAACTAAAATTGCGACATTTGGGCAAAAAACTTTAACCCTAGATTTGGGGTTCAGGAGGCAATTCCCTTGGGTTTTCACGGTAGCCGACTTAGATCTGGCAATACTGGGGATGGACTTTTTAGAGAGATACGAATTTCTAGTTGACACCAAGAAACGGCGATTAACACTAAAAGAAACTTCGTATTACACAAAAGGCAAAGAAAGTCACATCAGCTCTCTTAACTTGATTCAAACTCCTCCAGTAACATCAGCGAAATTCCAAGATATACTCGCGGAATTTCCAAACTTAACTAAACCAAACCCACAGCCTTCTAAGGACAAACTAAAAGTGAGTCACACTATCAAA